AGGGAAGGGAAATGTGCTGACGTGTTGTGACGTCTCCCCCCTTGTCCTCCTCGTGGGGAACCTTGAACCTCCAGAGACATCTGAGGAGTGGCGGCCAGGAGTAGATGGAGAGGGGTGGCGGTAGACAGGGGAAGTGATATATTGAAAGCAGCGAGAAGAAGGGACTTGGGGAAAAGGGAGGAGGGAGAAGGAAGGGAACGGGTTTTGATAACCTGGAGAATGGGTAGGGAGAAAAGGATGTCTAAATGAGGAGGTCCTCTCCCCCGCCTCCTTCTCTTTTTCCTCCGCCTCAAATCCCTCCTCCACCCCGTCCACTCCCCCCGCCTCCTCCTCCTCTTCCTCCTCTTTTGCTCTCTTCTCGGCCCCTCTTCCCTCATCAGGGGGCGGGAGGGACGAGGAGGCCGAGGAGGCGAGGGAGGCAGGGGCGAGAGGAGGGCGTGCCAGAGGGGAGGCTTGAGGAGGCCAAGCCTGCGGGGACGCAGAGCCGCTCCTCCCCCCTCCTGGCCCGGCCACATCGGCGGTGGACAAACCTCCCTTTCGTGAACCTCCCTTCAGCGAACACGGCCTGGGACCGAAACCGACGAACCCAGACCCGCAAAAACAATGGCCGCGACGCCCTCTCGCGAACCGCAAGCGGCCCAGTCACTGATCGACGTGTCGGGGTAGGAGCTCTGTCCACCCCCCAACAGCAACGTAGTCCGCTGGTACAGGCACGCTCCGGGCTGGTCCGCCTCGTGCTCGGGCTCGGAATAAGGTAACGAAAACATGACATAAACATAAAAACCCGGAGGCCCGCGCGGATTTCTTGAATCCGCGCTGGACCCCCCTCCCTGGCGCGCGGAGCGTGCAGGGGCGGCGCCGGAGGCGCCGCCAGGGGGCCCCAGCGCGGACCCGAGAAATCCGCGCGGACCTCCGAGTTGTTATGTGTATGTCATTTTTCGTTCCCCTACGGAAGGCGCTCCGCCCGTGGCGCCGCCTCTGCTGAAGGGGAACTGGGACACGCAAACAAATACACACACAAATCACCAGACTCCCCATCTCTCCCCAGATCTTCTGGGTCCTTGCCTCCCCCAACGACTGCCCATACTTTCCCGTAGGAATCGACGATTCATTGTGCCTGTGTGTTTCTTTCCCTCCTGTACGGCGCTCCGCCCGTGGCGCCGCCAGCTGCCCCCGCGCCGGGAGCCGCCGGGAGCCGCCGGGAGCCGCCGGGAGCCGCCGGGCTCGTCGGGCTCGGCGCCGGCGCGGCGGCCGTCGCAGGCCGTGGCCGCCTCCGGGCCAGCCCAGCGCGCGCTCGGTTTGCAAGTCGGGCGTGTCCCCCCACAGGGGGATTGTCGACGAAAAAAAAAAGATGACCCAAAAAACTACTCCCAAATGGCAAACAAAAAAAATCCCCGGCTGTTTTTTCCCAACCAACCTGTGTTGTTGGGTCCTCGTTTTGAAGAGACGGTCCCCGCGTTCCTCCTCCTCCTCCTCCTCCTCCTCCTCCTCCTCCTCCTCCTCCTCTCCTCCCCCTCCTCCCTCCTCTTCCCCTTCTTACATGCGTGTCCCCCACTCAGTACAGCGCTTCGTGGCCCCATAGGGAGCTCCACCGAAGGCCCCAGTGCCACCGTCCACATGCGTCCCCCCCACTCAGTACAGCGTTTCATGGCCCCATAGGGAGCCCCACCGAAGGCCCCAGTGCCACCGTCTACATGCGTCTCCCCCACTCAGTACAGCGCTTCGTGGCCCCATAGGGAGCCCCACCGAAGGCCCCAGTGCCACCGTCCACATGCGTCCCCCCCACTCAGTACAGCGTTTCGTGGCCACATAGGGAGCTCCACCGAAGCCCCCAGTGGGACTGTCCGAGTGCGTCCTGAAACGCCCAATTTGGCATTTTCACCCACCCATTACGGCGTTTCGTGGCCCCACAGGGAGCTCCACTGAAAGCCCCAGTGCCACCGTCCGCATGCGTCCCGCACACCCAACGTGGCATTTTCACCCACCCAGTGCAGCGTTTCGTGGCCCCACAGGGAGCTTCACCAAAGGCCTCAGTGGGACGGTCTGCAAGCGTCCCGAAACACCCATTGTGGCATTTCCACCCACCCAGTCCAGAATTTCGTGGCCCCGTAGGGAACTCCACCGAAGGCTCCAGTGCCACCGTCCGCACGCGTCCCGAAAACCCAATTTGGCATTTTCACCCACGCAATACAGCGTTTCGTGGCCCCATGGGAAGTTCCACCAAAGCCTCCGGTGGGACCGTCCGCATGCGTCCCGGAAGCCCAATTTGGCATTTTCGCCCACCCATTACAGCGTTTCGTGGCCCCATAGGGAGTTCCACCAAAGCCTCCAGTGGGACCGTCCGCATGCGTCCCGGAAGCCCAGTTTGGCATTTTCACTCACCCAGTACAGCGCTTCGTGGCCCGTGGCCCCATAAGGAGCTCCACCGAAGCCCCAAGTGGGACCGTCCGCATGCGTCCCGGAAACCTTACTTGCCACACCACTCACCCAGAACAGCGTTCCCCCCCACCCAGTGCAGCGTTTCGTGGCCCCATAGGGAGTTTCACCGAAGAAGATTTTCACAATTGCGGTATCCACAACTGCATATGGTTGGGTCCTTCGCCAGGATATTTTTTTTTTTGGGGGGGGTATTTTTGGGCCCTACAGGGGGATTCTCGACGAAAAACAAAAATTACCTTGGCGACGTACCCAACCCCTGCGCAAACGCGCGGCGCAAAAAGTTTAGAATACTTTAGAAGGGGGGCGATGACGGAGCGAGGGTTACACATGTCTGCAGACGGAATTCGGGAGACTCGCAGGACACTGGCTACAGGACAAGGACTAGATAAAGCTGATCAGTTACAATCCCGGAGCAACCCTAGCCATTTCGAAAGCGGGGATCTCAGATCGCAGCCCCCCAGGGATGGCGAGGTCTAATTTGAATCTGCGTGTGGCGTCACTGTGCTGGGCCCCCCAGCAGGCCTCGAACGTGGCGACAGTTTCACAGATCGCAGCCCCCCAGGGATGGCGAGGTCTAATTTTAATCTGCGTGTGGCGTCACTGTGCTGGGCCCCCCAGCAGGCCTCGAAAGTGGCGACAGTTTCACAAATCGCAGCCCCCCAGGGATGGCGAGGTCTAATTTGAATCTGCCCGTGGCGTCACTGTGCTGGGCCCCCCAGCAGGCCTCGAAAGTGGCGACAGTTTCACAGATCGCAGCCCCCCAGGGATGGCGAGGTCTAATTTGAATCCGCCGTGGCGTCACTGTGCTGGGCCCCCCAGCAGGCCTCGAAAGTGGCGACAGTTTCACAGATCGCAGCCCCCCAGGGATGGCGAGGTCTAACTTGAATCTGCGTGTGGCGTCACTGTGCTGGGCCCCCCAGCACGCCTCGAAAGTGGCGACAGGTTCACAGGTCGCAGCCCCCCCAGGGATGGCGAGGTCCTGTTTGGGTCCGCGGTGAGTGCCCTCTCTGCTGGGCCCCCAGGCCTCGAAAGTGGCGACGGTTTCACAGATCGCAGCCCCCCAGGGATGGCGAGGTCCTGTTTGGATCCGCGGTGAGTACCCTCTCTGCTGGCCTCCCCAGCAGGCCTCGAAAGTGGCGACGGTTTCACAGATCGCAGCCCCCCAGGGATGGCGAGGTCCTGTTTGGGTCCGCGGTGGGTGCCCTCTCTGCTGGCCCCCCCAGCAGCCCTCTAAAGTGGCGACAGTTTCACAGGTCGCAGCCCCCCAAGGGATGGCGAGGTCCTGTTTGGATCCGCGGTGGGTGCCCTCTCTGCTGGCCTTCCCAGCAGGCCTCGAAAGTGGCGACAATTTCACAGATCGCAGCCCCCCAGGGATGGCGAGGTCCTGTTTGGATCCGCGGTGAGTACCCTCTCTGCTGGGCCCCCCAGCAGGCCTCGAAAGTGGCGACGGTTTCACAGATCGCAGCCCCCCAGGGATGGCGAGGTCATGTTTGGATCCGCGGTGAGTACCCTCTCTGCTGGCCTCCCCAGCAGGCCTCGAAAGTGGCGACGGTTTCACAGATCGCAGCCCCCCCGGGATAGCGAGGTCATGTTTGGATCCGCGGTCAGTGCCCTCTCTGCTGGCCTCCCCAGCAGGCCTCGAAAGTGGCGACAACTTCACAGGTCGCAGCCCCCCAGGGATGGCGAGGTCCTGTTTGGATCCGCGGTGAGTGCCCTCTCTGCTGGCCTCCCCAGCAGCCCATCGAAAGTGGCGACAGTTTCACAGGTCGCAGCCCCCCAGGGATGACGAGGTCTTTTTTGGATCCGCGGTGGGTACCCTCTCTGCTGGCCTCCCCAGCAGCCCATCGAAAGTGGCGACAGTTTCACAGGTCGCAGCCCCCCAGGGATGGCGAGGTCCTGTTTGGATCCGCGGTGGGTGCCCTCTCTGCTGGCCTCCCCAGCAGCCCATCGAAAGTGGCGACAGTTTCACAGATCGCAGCCCCCCAGGGATGGCGAGGTCCTGTTTGGGTCCGCGGTGGGTGCCCTCTCTGCTGGCCTCCCCAGCAGCCCATCGAAAGTGGCGACAGTTTCACAGGTCGCAGCCCCCCAGGGATGGCGAGGTCTTTTTTGGATCTGCGGGCCTCGCCAGCAGCCCTCGAAAGTGGCGGCAGTTTCACAAATCGCAGCCACCCAGGGAGGGAGAGGTCTCGCTCAAATCTGCGCGGTGCCTCAACCCACACGGCGAGAGGAGACAAGAGGGAGGCGGGAGGCGGGAGGCGGGAGGAGCAAGACGCGACCACGGTGCTCTATTCAAAACGCATACCCAACCAAGGAGGGTTTGGAAATACTAAAAACAAATACTCCCAAATGGTCCAAAAGTGTGCAACAAATAGTCCCCCGACTGACTATTTGTTGACTCTTTTTGGCTATTCCCCCCCTGTAGAGGGACACGCCCGACTTAACGCTCGGTCGCACGTGCGACTGCTCGCTTCCGCTGCGTCTGCCTGCCGTCTGAGAGAGAAAGAGAGAGAGAGAGAGAGAGAGAGAAGGAGAGGGAGGCCGCGCGGGCGTGGGCAGCTGGCCCGCTCGAGGCAGGTCGGGCTCGATGTCCAGGTGGTACATCGAGAGCAGCAGGCAGGCGAGGGTGGCCCTGGGGCCCAGATCCTGGCGCCGACGGGGATGCCACAGCCTCACCAACGTCGGCCGAAGGGGCCGAGGCCTTCAGATCACAGGAGAGAGCACATGGGAGCATGCACGCACTGCTTCGGAGAACTCCCTCCCAGACGGCATCGGGCTGGCGTCGGAGCTGCCACGGCATGGCGCCCTGATTCACCGCCTCCTCCCTGCCAACTGGGGGCTCGGGCGTTGCAGCCCATACTACCGGCCAAATGCTGAAGCCGCTGCACGTGAGAGCAGCAAACCTTGTGGACGGCTTGGACTGAACGGGCACTTGACGATACCACCTGGTATGCCGCATCTAGCGCGCTGGCCCAGAGCCTCCCCAACGTGTCAGCGTCATTATATACGGGGCTCCAAGGAGGCCCAAACTGCCCCGCCAAAGGCGATGCTGTACTCCGCTCCATCTACTGCGAAACGCGCCTGACAATTTGCTCTTCTGGTGCTAGCTAGAAGGTCACAATACGTGAAATGACAATTACGATGCCGATCACGTCAAAACAAAGATGAGTGCACGGGCCTCGGCAAAGGAATAAGGAAATGAGGATGCCAATGATCAAAAACAATGAAGGTGGTAGGATATCCTTCTGTTGCGCTACATTTCGCGCCACTCCCCTACCATATCCTACTTTCCATCTCCCGTCCTCTTCCATGTGCCTCCGCTTCCTTTTTCCAGTCCTCTCCCCTCCACCACTACATCCCCATCCACTCCAATCAGTGTCATTCCCCGTGCGTATCCCTGCAACTCCTGTTTCAAATCTTCCTGGCATAATGCCAAGCCATGTATCTACCATCTTCATGTAGTCTTCATCCTTTCTACTCGTCATGCTTAACCCTTCCTCTTACTTCCGCTCACGTTCCTCCTCCTCCTTCTCCTCTTGTTCTTCTCCCTCATCGTTTCTCATTGCATTTCTTGCGGACTCATCTCTCAATTGCAGCTGCACAAAGTGGCCGAAATAGCAATATCCTTCTCAACACACTCGGTGAGGTGAGCCTTGCCCTTGACCCGGTCGATGGAGAAGCCGGCCAAGCGCAGCAGGGGGAAGAATCCAGCGGGCATCAGAGAGGTGCACAAGAAGAAGAAGCCCAGACCTCACAAGAGGGTTGACCATCAACAGAGCCAATGGAATAGCCAGAGAAGCGAGAGGCGAGGTGCAAGCCGGATATCAGTAGTGTCGAGGAGAATTCACAGGCGGTGGTTGTGCGCCTGGCGACCATACCACCCAGGGCGATGCTTGACCTGGATCTTCGGTCCATCCTGATCGTGCCCGAGGAGCCAACAGAGCCATTTGAATGCATCATCATGCAATGATATCAATACTGTTGACCCCCTTACCCCCTTCGCCCCCCTGCTTCTCATCGCCGACCTCCTTCCCTCTTCCCCCTCACACCCTTCCCCTTCAATCCTCCCCCTGCAACTACCTTCATGAATGTCCAGAGCTTCTGTGTGAATGCGGAGGGGTACGTGAGAGAGGATTTTCCAGAGTGCCAATGGACCGATGCTTCGTGAACTGAATTGGCGGCCTAAACTTGCGAAGCTTTGGTGCCATCGTCCTGGGACTCGTGGTTGACCCATTCCGTCGAGCATCTAGCCTGGACAGTGACGTCAGTGAAATAAGGACATGACAAGGAGAACGAGGAGCCCTAATGTGTTTGTGCGTGCTGGGGGTGGGGTGGATGGGGGGTGTCCATCCTGCGAGATCGCAAGAAATGCTCGGCGAATGTTTTTCTTTCCAAGTTCCAAGCCGAAAATACAAGTCAACCGATGCTTGAAGCTGCTTAACGGCAACTTCCAGCGCGGCCGAAGGTATGGGGCCCTTTGGAGGAGGTCCAATCAAACCCGAAAACACTTGTTAACGCAACCACCGCTTTGGACAATACGAACGGGGAGCTCAAACCCCTGGCGAAACTGCTGGCAATTTTGCAACGGATGGCACACGCATTGTCCAACGTCAGACCAACACATATGTATCGAACGAGACGACCTATATAAATAATGTTCGAATAATCCGACGCGAATCATCCAACACTGCCAACAAGGAATTAACAAGGTTGTCCGTTGTAACTTCCCGGGGGGTGCTACGGAAATCGGACGCAGACAAACATCATAGACCAGAAACGGTAGGGACCACGTCAATTACTGCAAGGGTGGCGGCAAGGATGTTCTGAGCACAATGCACCCGCTCGTCTGAAGTTGCCCTACGTGCTGCACTTCGTTCCACATTGTTTCGACGCCGATTCGCCCGTGCGTCATCGGGGACCACGGCACTCTGGCTGAATGTTTAGTAGGGCGGACAATTTTCGCACGCCAGTCGCACGCGCAACGACAATTGTGCCGCACCAACGCTCAGGCTGCCCTGTGGCAATCCCCGAGCCAAAAAAAACGCGCTTGTGCGTGTACCCGCGTGCGCGCCACCACGCTTGCTGCACTGTACAGACGTAGGGGGACAGACGGCAAGCGATCTCCGATAAGAGACATCCGTCATTCATGCCTAATCCGCCAACGTATCAGCTCTTAGTGGAGCGTCCCGACGCCCGTACATATGTGCGCGTAAAGAAGATTCTAAAGGTCCTAAGTTCTCAGGAGCCCCGACCACCAATCCGTCAGAATCCTCGTGCGCCCGCGGCGCTTGCCGCGCGGGAGTCCGGGAAACCAAACCAGCTCGAACCGACTCCAATATAAGCAGATGGCATTCCTATAAACGCTCGAGAAGGCTTACGAACCCTCTGTAGCCCCGAGGGGCCGTTCTGTGGCTACGTGTCCTGATGGCCTCTTGGGCCGTCTGGCTCTGGGCTGGCCCGACATGGCAAACTCACACCGCATTCATGTTAAGTCGGGCGTGTCCCCTCTACAGGGGGATGGATGTTCGACGAAAAAATAGCAATAATCGAAAAATACCCCCAAATGGACAAACCATACCCCCAAAAATAGTCCCCTGACTATTTTTTGGCTACTTTTTGAATTTTCCCCCCCTTACCATTAGCTTCGCGTCCCAGGCGTCGTGCCACGTGGCTGGCGGACGGGCGGGCGGGCGAACGGGCGCCGCTGCCGCCGCCATCCGCCGCTGGCACCAGCGTTGCATCCGTGCGCTGTCCTCGTCGTCGTCGTCGACGCCGCGCCTCTCCTCGTCGTCGTCGTCGTCGTCGTCGTCGTCGTCGTCGTCGTCGTCGTCGTCGTCGTTGTCGTCGTCGTCGTCGTCGTCGTCGTCGTCGTCGACGCCGCGCCTCTGTTCCTTCTACCTGCCCCCTCCTCCTCCTTCTTCTTGCTTCTCCTGTTCTTCCTTTTCCCTACTCCCTACTTGCTCTCCGCTCCGCCCCTCCTCTCCTCCCAGGGGCCTCGGGTTCCCAAGTTCGCTCTGGGGGAGTGTTCCTGTTGGCCCTTCCTTTTTCTGCGCTGGCCCCATGTTCGTTTCGCAATTCGCGTTGCCACCGGACGAGCAGCGTACGCTATGTTGTTTCCGCACCCCGTGCGTGCTCACGTAAGGAAAATAATGCACTCTGATTTCTTCGCGCCCCCATGCCACTGCCACGCGACGAATAGAATAGACTAGACCTACCTGTGCGACTTCCACTGCTGGGCCCGGACCCGTGCAAGTTCCGTTTCTGGCCCCAGATTCGCGCGAGTTCCGCTGCTCCAACGGAATCTGCACCAAAGAAAGTCGCACGGAACGAACTCGCACGAACCTGCACTCGCAGGAACGGAACTCGCACGGCACAAACTCGCACTCACGAAGCAGAACTCGCACGGATGAGACTCGCACGGAGCGGAACTCGCACACACCGGAACTGGCACAGGCACGGATGATCTTGCACGCGTGGGAGTTCCGCCGCGCGACGGAGCGTCGAACGGCGCATGCATTGCGAGCTCGTGTGGGCGAGCTCCGTCGTGCGCGATCTGTGCGTGCGAGTCGGTGCGTGCGAGCTCCGTGTGTGCGAGCTCCGCTGTGCGAATTCGTTTTTTTTGGAGGTTCGTCCATGCGAATTCCGCTTCGTGCGAATTCCGCTCCGTGCGCGTTCCGTCCGAGTTCCGCCACTTGCGAGCTCCGTCTATATTTCCCCCTGAGAGGCCCCGGGAGGCCCCAGAGGCCTGTAGAGACGCCCCAAGAGGCATCATGCGTATCCTGCTCCTCCGCCTGCTCCTGCTCCTCCTCCTCCTCCCCTCTTCCTCCCAAATCATGTTGCCCCAAGGGTTTCCACCACGACTGGGGGAGAACGTAACCCAATAGCTTGACAAGACTTCGGCTCACGTTTGGCCACACAGTCGGCTTCAAGAGGCAGGGGGCGGCGGTGGTTCGCGTTGGCGTCTTCGATAACACAACTCGCTGTTAAATTCTGGCCGAATCTGGCTGCAATCAGCTGCGCCTGTTGTTTTACATATCCGTCACATGCATGGATCCTGTGCCGACCAGGCCATGCAAGACACAGACTAACAACTGCGTCAGCGCAGTGATATCGCATGCGCAACCCACGCGGCGGCAGCGGCTCGTGCGGCTCATGCGGCGGACGCCGCGTGAGCGGCCTACCTGCTGCCCCCGCCGACGCCCCCCGCCCCGCCCGCCCCCTCCTCCTCCTCCTCCTCCTCCTCCTCCTCCTCCTCCTCCTCCTCCTCCTCCTCCTCCTCCTCCTCCTCCTCCTCCTCCTCCCGCCTCCTCTGACGAAGGCCAGCCCGCGGCGTGCTCGCCCGGCGGCATTTAGGCCGCGGTGTGCGGCCCGTCGGCCGAAGCGGGCCGTCCCCCGGCAGTGCGCGGGGGTGCCAGGGGCACGCGCCCCTCCAAGAATCGTCTCGCCTCCTTTAGCTGTCCTCCTCCTGCTTCTCTGAGGTCGGGCATGCCCCCCTGCAGGCGGATTTTGGATGAGCAAAGACTCGAGAATGCTCAACCACAGTCAAACAATAGTAAAAACATCGTCCCTGGACGATGTTTGCATTATTTTTGCATTTTCCTCCTGTAGAGGGACACGCCCGACTTAATCCTAGTTGTCTTCATGCTGCTTCTCCTCCTCCTCCTCTGCACTGCGACATTGCCCAGCAACGCAAAGGCGGGGTCAGCAGAGGTCTGTTCACCTCTGGTCTGGGTCAGGGGCTGCGGCACACAGGCCAGGCGGTGCTGAAAGCGAGACGCGGGGGGTGGGTGGGCGTGGACCAGCACAGGGCAGTGCAGCCCACCGCGCGGGCGCTGAGCAGCAGGCAGGCACACGGCATCGGCCCGTGGGCTCACTTGGGCGACGTCCCCCAACCCACGGCTGGGGCGGCCGCGGAGCCCTGGTCCTCTCCGCGCAGCACCTGGTTCAGCAGGGACTGCCCGTGCTGATGGCCAGCCTTGAACGCGTCGAGCGGCGGCTTCTTCAGCAGCTGCTGGCAGGCGAGCTCCAGCAGGCCTCCCCCGCCTGCCGCGCCGCGGGCAGCCGGCCCGCTCGCACGAGCCGCCACCTGGAACAGCCTCTGGGTGGTCGCGAAGCTGTGGGGGCTGCTGGCCAGCTTCGCCAGGAGGGGCTCCTGCTCCAGGACCCTCCTGACGATCTCCAGCTGGTCGCCCCAGTGGCAGTACGTCAGGGCCTTGTCCAGCACCGCGCAGGCGAAAATGTTGCTTGCAAAACGGGCGACGCTGCTCCGGACCGCGCTCCCAATCTGCTTTCGGTCACCCTCGGTCCCGTGCTCAAGCAGGTGCTGAACCACGTAGTTCCCATACCGGTCGCCGCTCAGATACTCGACGTTGCTGAGGATGCTGCCCACCGCTCCCGCGAGCGCGCACGACGGAAAATGCTCGATCAGACGTTCGAGGATCGGGTCGGGCGAAAGTGGGGGATAGCAAAGGGGGGGTTTGAGAATCAGCTCACGTAGCTGATTTCCCCGGCGCCTCCTGGCGCCGGAGGCGGCTATGTATCGAGGAATGGGCCCCTCGGAGGGGCCGAAACCAGCTGCATGCAGCAAATTTCGTAACCCCCCCTTTCCCTATTCCCCCCCTTTCGTCTGGCCCGAGAGGACCCTGCACCCGTAGCGATGCCGCGCCAACACGACCGGATCCCACGTGTCTAGGATCTCGCTGCGGACGAAGTCCACGGCCCCCGGCGGCAGCAGCACCACGGCCAGCTGCACCACGTGGTTGCCGTGGGGAGAGCCCAGGAGCTCGCAGACGTGTCCCCGCAGCTCCTCCACGATCCGCTTCTGGTCTTAAGTCGGGTGTGTCCCCCTACAGGGGGATTTCCGACGAAATATTTCAAAAACAGCCCCAGAATGCACCAACATGGTAACAAACATGATCCAGAAAGAGTCCCCAGACTATTTTTTGACGATGCTTGAGTATTCCCCCTGTAGAGGGACAGGCCCGACTTAATTCTGGTCACGCAGCGGGGCGAGGCCGAGGGCGTCCTGCACCCGCCGGCAGCCGTCGGCCGTCTTCGAGAGCTCGACGACATTCCACCTCGTGGCGCACGCTGCTGCTCGCCCTCGCTCCACGAAGCTCTTCGAGGGCTCCGTGGAGCGGGGACGGGCGGTCAGCACTGTCGGAGGTCCGCGTGGGTAGGGGGCCACATGCGAACCCTACCCCTACCCCCCTGTGATTTCTGAGGAGGGTGGTGTTCACTTCGTTCGGGAGCTCCCGCGCGAGGTGCCTCAGAAATCGTGGGGGGTTAGGGGTAGGGTTCGCACGTGGCCCCCTTATGGATGCCTTCGGTCGGCGCTGAAATACCCTCCACTGGCGTGCGGAGCGCTCCAATGGGCGGCCCTGGAGACGCCGCCAGGGGAGGGCGGGCGCTGACCACCGAAATCCTCGCGGACTTCCACACGGCAAAGCAGTAACGAATCCCCTCGCAAATGCCGATAGCCTGAGGTCGGGTATGTCCTCCTACAGGCGGATTTTGGAAGACAGATTCATAAAATAGCCATAACACATTTAAAAAGGAATCAACAAATCATACAAAAGAAACTTCCCAGGACTATTCTTGACGATTCTTAAATCTTCCTCCTGTAGTACGGCATGCCCGACTTAACGATAGCGCTTGAAATGACTCCCAGTGGGCGGCGCAACGAAACGATACCGGCAACGTGTAACACAAACGTGCCGATTGTACGGAACACTGACCTGTGGGATGAACGGAATTTACGATAGGGGCTCGACCACAAGAAACCTTCCACAAGAGACCCAACCATTGATTTTTGGTTTGGGAACGTCACGCTTTCCATGGCAAGACCATCGAAACCCAAGCCATCCGAGGCAAGCAGGGTGTTTCTTGGCATGGGCTTCCACTGCAGTCAATAAACGACATGTGGAGATAACAAGGTAGTACTGGCATGATACGACCACAAACAAGAACAAGTACGACGTGCGATTCGCAACAACTGCCGACCGCTTTGGGTTCACCGGCGTGTGAGATGTTCCCCCTCCTAGAACCCATCCCCCGGGTGCCCGGTCCGGTCCGTTTGGAGGGGTCGGGGATCTTCTGACCCAGGTCAATCCAGACCCGGGTCAGCCTAGCCTTGCAAAATCCTGCAAAAGCCTGCACCCAAACCCGGGTCAACGCGAAGGATCCTGCAAGATACTGCAGGATCCTGCACCCAAATCAGGGTCAGTGCGACCCTGGCCCTGCAGGATCCTGCAAACTTCTGGCGCTCTGGCTGACCCCCGTCTGCACTGACCCCCGTCTCAATCGGGAGCGGCCAAGAGGGGGGTGTCCAAGAGGGGGGATGCAAATCATGACGGCGGCATGTGCGCGGCCCAGCGGGGGGGCCAGGGACGTAATGAAATACGAAGAGGCGCCATGAAATCTGGGAAATATCATGGCCCACGCCATGATATCCACCCCCCCCTAGTCATCACCCTCCTCTTTTCGACCCCCGTCTCAAGGCTCCCGACCCCCTCTCCGGACCCCTCCCCCAGGTGCCCGGTCGGGTCCATTTGGAGGGAGGGGGGGTCCCCCCGGGACCAGCCGAGCGCATCACGGGGGGCAGAGGGCCCCCAAAAACAGGCCAAGAGGGCACCAGGAGGCCTTCTGGACGGTCCCAGAGGGCCACGAGCCGCCGAAAGATCGATGGAAAACGCACACGCTGGCCTCCAGACGGCCCAGGAGGCCCCCAAGAGGCCCCAAGAAGCCCTCAAGAGGCGTCCCAACACGGACTCAAAGAGCAAACATCGCCCCATTTCCAAGGGAACACTTGCATTTTTAGCACGTTCGCCTCTTCTGCGATCACAGCGTCCACGACAGCCCAAGAAGCTTCCTGGGTCGCTCCAAGACGGCCCACAAGGCCACAGGCCCCCAGGAGGGGGCTCAGACGACCCAGCAGGGTCCCAAGACCGCTCAAAAGGCCACCAAAAACGAGCCGAGAGGGCACCAAGAGGCCCTCTGAGCGCTCCAAGAAGGCCACGAGCCGCCGAAGAATGTATCGAACACGCCCGCTCTGGCCTCCAACCGGCCCAGGAGGCCCCCAAGACGCCCAAAGAAGCCCGCAGGAGGCGTACCATGACGGCCTCAAAAACACACATCGCCGAACGTCCACAGGAAACCCTGCATTTTTAGCACGTTCGCCTCTGCTGCGTTCACGACGTCCAGGACAGCCCAAGAAGCTTCCCGGGTCGCCCCAAGACGGCCCGAGAGGCACCCTAAGAGAGCTCTCAGACGACCCACGAGGGCCCCCAAACCGCTCCAAAAACTCGCACGACGGCCCAGGAGGGTCCCGCGACCGTCCCAAAAAAGGCGTCCAGAAGGAACCCAGACGGACATTTCGAGCCTTCTACCCCGCACCGCCGCCCGGCTGTCTCCCGTGGAGCTCCTCGAGGCCTCCAAGAAGCTCCTATGTAAGAGGTTCCCAGGAGGCCCCCAAGAGGTTCAAAAACTGCTGCCAAAACGACCCCGATACCCCTCCCACGAGACCCCGTTCGCCATCCGCGTGGCCTCCGACCCGCAGCCCAAGCGCATTTGCGGGGTGTGCCGAAGGCCATTCGATGATCACTCTTCTGGAGTTTAAACGTGTGCCCACCGTTAGTACACGTGGGTTCTCGCCCGTTCCCCGATGCGTGCACGGCGGACATTGAACATGTCAGCCGCAGAAATTACTGCTGCCGATGCGAGCTGTGTCGCGATTGCCGTGGGCCGCGGGCCCAAGCGGCCCCCAAGATAGTCCAAGAGGGCCCGCAATCGCCGAAGCTCGACAACAAATTTGCCCCCCGGACGGCCGAATACGCCCCGAAAGCGCCCCAAATGGCTGCCTTGACGCGATCAGCTCACACCTGAACAGAAGCATATCTAAATACTTTTCCCTTAGCTCGATCAAACATGAGATCGGTTGACAGATCAACGTGTTCGAAGGGAAGCGCGTGCGTCTGAGGGACAGTTTCAACTGACTTTTGGACGTCTCCCTCGCGACGCCCACTGCAAAGAAGGGCTAGCGATAAAAACGCGCGGTCTGGTTCTCTCGCTTGGAAATGCGTCGGCCAGGGGGCCCGACACCTCGCGGGCAGAGGGTCAACAAGAAAGCGCGATCACCTACCTCAGAAGCCAGAACTTGCCTGCTCCACCCTGTGATGGACTGAACCGCGTCTGCATTTGTCTTGGAAGCCTCGGCGGGTGGTTTGTTTTTTTTGGGGGGGGGGGGGGGAGCGCTGGGTCGCGGTGCCGCCATGGGTTCTCGATCGGCTCTGGGCATCGGGCTGAGGCGACGAAGGTAGTAGACCGTGCAAGAAGGCCGCCAGGACGATGCACATCGCGGTAAACATCCTGGAAACGAGCACAACTTGAAACATGCCTCGCACCATGCAATCGACGCAGTCATCCTGGCAGCAACCGCATAAAAAGGATGATTGGCGCGACTATGCGTGTCCAGCGACCTGGGATTCTCGAAGGTGGCCGAGAGGAGGAGGAGGAGGAGGAGGAGGAGGAGGAGGAGGAGGAGGAGGAGGAGGAGGAGGAGGAGGAGGAGGAGGAGGAGGACGCTTGGACATCCTGCCTTCTGGGCGGCCCTGCCTCCGAAGGACGATGGGGGGCGCGATGCGCCCGAGCGCGCGCGCCTTGGCAGCTCTTGCCAAACGCTCGGCCGACGCAGCCGTGCCCTCCCTGAGCGTCCTCGGTCCAGACCGACGGGGGCCTCCAAACTTCGGAGGCCCAAGGGGCACGCTCTAAGCCCAGGGAACCTGAGATGCGAGGAACGGGGCCAGTCCAAGGCCCTTAGTACCCCGTGCAACCACCTCGCTTTTGAAACCCTGAGCCCTTCTTGAAGCAGGGACGCGAGCGGCTCTGGCGCATCGCGTAGGATCGGACCGAAAGCCGAAGCAGAGAAACCCTCGGGAGAGATGAAGCCAGCGAGCGCTAAACAGCTGCCCATGTTGCTTTGCCAATCGCGGAACCATTTCTACAACCGTCCTGCGGTGCTGGGCCCTCGTTTTGAAGAGACAGCACCCCGCGTTCCGTCCTTCCTTCCTCCTCCCCATCCTCCCCCCTCCCATCCCTGCCTCTGCCCTCCGCATGTCCTCGTCGTCATCATCATCGTCATCATCGCCATCATCGTCATCATCATCAGCGGCATCATCAGCATCATCACCAACGACGTCGCCATCATCATCAGCAGCATCATCAGCATCATCAGCATCGCCATCGGCATCAGCAACATCAGCATCAGCATCAGCACCATCATCATCATCATCATCATCAACAACATCAGCAGCATCATCGGCATCATCATCAACAACATCATCATCAACAGCATCATCATCAGCAGCATCAACATCACCATCAACAACACCATCAGCACCAGCATCATACACGCTTCGTGGCCCTGTAAGGAGCTCCACCGAAAGCCCTAATGGCAGGGCCCGTATGCCGCCACCTTGCCATGTCCGCACACACCTCACACGATTCGTGGCCTAAAAGGAGCTCCGCCGAAGGCCCTGGTGGCAGGGCCCGCATGCCGCCACCTCGCCATTTCCGCACACCCCTCACACGTTCCGTAGCCCCGTAGGGAGTTCCAACGAAGGCCTCAGTGGCAGGGCCCGCATGCCGCCACCTCGCCATTTCGGCACATCCCTCACACGTTTCATGGCCCCATAGGGAGCTCCTCCGAAGGCCCCAGTGCCATGGCCCGCAGGCGCCAACTCGCCATTTCGGCACACTCCTCACACGGTTCGTAGCCCTGCAGGGAGCTCCACCGAAAGCCCCAGTGGCAGGGCCCGCATGCGGTTCCACTCCACATTTTGGCGCACCCCTAGCACGTTTCGTGGCCCGAGGCGGCACCACCGAAGGCCGCAGCGGCAGGGTCCGCATGTCGGTGCCGCCCCATTTCTGCACACCCCTCGCACGTTTCGTGGCCCCATAGGGAGCTCCACTGAAGGCCACAATGGCAGGGTTCACGTGACGACGCCGTGCCGATTTCGGGACGCCCCTCGCACAGATCGCTCCCTAGAGGGGGAGCCACGTATAGCGTCTGTGGACGGACGTTCCCGGAGATCTCCAGGCAGTGCGGATCAGGATGAAGGAGGTTAGTTTACGATGATGATAACGACGATGATGATGACGACGACGATGGCGAACACGATGACGATGATGATGATGATGCTGATGCTGAGGATGATGATGGTGGTGATGATGCTGGGGGATGAGGCTCAGGGTGGCGAGCAAGCCGCGCCTCCGCACCAGGGTCAGGCTACGGCCGGGAGGGAGAATGTATGTCCTCCTCTCCCGCCAACTCCTCTCCAGTGCTTCGTTTGCCTTCTCCACCCCTCCTCCCTCCTCTTCCTTCTCCTCCTCAACTGGGAGCTCCACCGAAGGCCCCAGTGGCAAAGTTCGCATGCGTCTCCCCCCATCCAGTACAGCGCTTCGTGGCCCCATAAGGAGCTCCACCGAAGGCCCCAGTAGCACTTTCCGCATGCGTCTCCTCCATCCAGTTCAGCGCTTCGTGGCCCCATAAGGAGTTCCACCGAAGGCCCCGGTGGCACTTTCCGCATGCGTCTCCTCATCCAGTACAGCGTCTCGTGGCCCCATAGGGAGCTCCACCGAAGGTCTCAGTGGCACCGTCCGCATGCGTCTCCCCAACAAGTGCAGCATTTCGTGGCCCATGACGAGCTCCACCGAAGACGATACCCACAACTGTAGTACTCACAACTGCACATGGTTGGGCCCTTCGCCAGGCTAAGTTTCGTGGCGCGGCATTCTAATCATTGATCGGTATCTGCGAGCGCTTTGCGGTTGCAATCTGGCCATGCCTGACTTGGGCAGCGAGTGCCGCGCGCCCGACGCACGCGTGGAAACGCTGGGCGACAAACTATCGACGAGCGTCAGCTTGGGCGCCGTGTGTTTGCCACGGGCCTCGGGCGTGGCCTTTCGCAGCGCCTTGAACGCTCCGCTCGCCTCGCGGTCGCGTTACAGGTGGAGGTAAGTCCACACGAAGCCTTCCACAAGAAGCCCTAACCCTGAGACCCCACGACGTCCATCGATATTTGGTGTGGGGACATCACGTTTTCCATAGCTAAACCATCGAAACCCAAGAAACCCAGGGCTCCCTGGAGGCAAGCAGTGTGTTTCTTGGCATGGGCCTCCACTGTAGGTGATGTATCGGGTTCGACTGAACCTTTGCCATCCAGGACGGGCACGACATGCAGGGGGGGCAGCGCTACAAGAATAGCATTAATAGCATTGTCTCCACAGGGCAATCCATGAACAGAAGCAGCCGGCTCGGCGTTAGACGAAGACGTCCTCCTTGGTCTTCCCAACTCTGAGATGTGGATCGAGGCCAGCTGGCGAAAGAGAGCGCAATTCCGCAGAACAAGCCAGCAATGACAGCCCAAAGAAACCATATTGACGCACAAGGGCAAAACCAGACTCGTCGGCATTCGAGGCGCCTGGAAGACCCGCGAGGCTGTCAGGGGCATCTCCCGAAAAAAAACAAATTCGGAGGCACTGGGAACCCTGAATGACAAACCCACTTTGGTTAGTCCCTGTGGAAGACGGGGAATACCTCAGCAATGATGCAGATGAAAGTCGCATCTCCAAAGGGGGTCCCAGGCGAGTACTTTGATATGGACTGACAACTTTGTCGGCCCCAGGTGCCTGAAACCATCCCATCCTGCATGCTTTTGCACCGTAGCAACGTAATGCTCAGGCAGGTCGAGCTTCTTGAGCAGGGGCATCTGCTGCAAACGATGCCGCAGGCGTGGGAGGTAGCTGTCAGGAACGTCAGCGGACTGCAACACATTGAAATGAGAAGCGGCATCTGTCAGTTGCTAATGCTAGCTCTCTGGCACACTGGCAAAACGCAATGACTACATCAACGACCAGACGCGCAATGTATAACTGTTTGGCTGCCGCTATTTGTGCAACGCGCGATCTGCGAGGACAGCCATAGGCGTGTCTCTTCCTGGGGAGCATGCAAACTGATGGTGTCCAACTGCACTTTGCAAAACGGGCAGCATCTGAAGTCTGAGGCACGAGTGTTAACTCTTGCCGATATGAGAAGCTACCATAATGAAACGGGAGGCGGGGGCGGCATACGCATCGCCCCCCAGACCGTTGGGAATACGTGGAAGACCCCCTTTCCACTGCACAGGTTCAGAAAGCGACGTCGGACTTTTTAAAAAGACGGGGGGAATCGCAAGGGAGGGGCGATGGACTTGGCGCAAACTCTTGCAAACGGCTCCATGGTACCTGTCTGGTCCTGCCGCCGCTGCGCCCGTGTCGCGCAGCGCTTTAAAACTCTATGAATGCAAGAACAACTTCGAACACACGGGTTCCTTCAAGTTCAACGTATGCCGTGTCATGGAAGATCGCGGCAAACAAAACAGGTGAGACGGTGACCGCGAGCTCCTGCGCAACGAGATGTTCATGCTAGCGCTGGTGCGCCACAGGGGCAGTTGGGGCAACAGAGCCATCTGGGAGCTTTACTGGCGGCAGAATTGCGCGCTGCTTGCGCCGTTCACCTGACACTCCTAAGTCTCGAAGGGAGGCAAACTCCGCGGTTTAAGGGAGGAAGGGGGCAGGGAGAGAGGAGGAGGAGGGATAGGGGGAGGAAGGGGGAGGAGGAGGGATGGGGAGGACGAGGGAGGAGGAGAGAGGGAAGAGGGGGATTGGGGGACTCGGGTTGGCCTGCAAGGGCCGTCATGAAACGACGAGACTTGTAACAAGGAACTTGAGGCAAAGGGTTAAACATGCAGAACAACGTTGAGTGTTCAAATGTAGTTCAAACCCAGTTCAGCAGAACAAACGAACCCCCTGGATTCAAATTGAAAGTTCAGCAGAAGTTCCGAATCCATTCAAAACAGCTTCAAACACAGTTCAAACAATATACCATCCTCAAGAAGCATGTAAGTAACGGCCCCAACCCATTCGAACTCCAAACCACACTAAAACATATCCCACAAACGTCACGTCAAGATCGAGCAACGTTCAAAGTACATTTAGAACACGTACATTCCAAACGCGTAAACACTAACCTGTTCCAACTCAAAATCCAAACGTGCTGCACGTATCTGTTATAAGATTCCCTGGCCGAACAAACAAACCAAAACAAACCAAAGTCAACCAAACAAACCAGAAACATCCGGTATTTTTCCTGAACTTCAGGAAAGATACACTCGGGTCAACCTTTTGCCTCAAATCCACCTGACGAGACGATACCCCATCTGTAATTCGACGCGCCGCAAACATCCCACGAACACAGGACCGTCGAAATTCATGATGATCCCTGAACCTGATGATCCCCCCACTGAAGGAAGGGGAAGATCAGAAAGGAGATGGCGGGAAGGAAGAGCAGGAGCCCTACAAGTCAGTCGGAAAAAGTAGATACAGACATGAAGTAGGAAGGCGGGTAAAGTATGTTGGGTTCAGGCCCTCCCAGAAAATGGCAAAAACAGCAAAAGCATATCAGTTCTTGAAATAGGAAGGCGCTAGAAGTAGAGTGGGATCTGGGAGTCCAAACATACATAGTTTCAACGACCGACGTGTGGACTTCATCTTTCTGTGCCGTTTTTCCAGCCGGATCTAGATGTGATGGTCCTGGCGCCCGAAGACTGGGCGACAAAGCCCTAAATGAACAATTTGCATCGCCCGGATCTCAAGGTCTGCATCATGCTAAATGGTTTTCGGGTCACCGTTGGGCTCTCGCATGGCTGTTCGGGACGATCCGGGCGCCCCCCGAACGCGCTCGGCGAGGCGCAGCCGCTGAAGGGCATCCCGAGGCTGGAAGATCACCGAGGACCGACGACACCGTCCGAAAGCCTCGAGCGTCGAACCCGAAAACCCTCCAGGCTGTGCCTCCCGCCCCGTTCCAGGCACGGCGCCGGCCCGCGAGGAGTGCGCTGCGATCGCCAAAGTGTGCGCGCGAGCGCCAGCATGTTTGAAGGGGCCCTGGGACACACAAATAAGTACACACAAATAAAAGGATTCCCCATATTTCCCTATATTTTCTGGGCTCTTGTCTTCCCCCACATTTCCCATATTTTCCTATCTTTTCCTGGGAGTGGGCGATTGATTGTGTCTGTGTGTTGTTTCCCCTCCTGAAACATGTTGGGAGGGGGGGTCCGGACCCGGCCCCCCTGCGTACGATCGGTACCGCTCCCCGCGGCGAGCCACCGAGGAGCTGCGAGAACGTCCGAAAACCCCGGGCCTCCAAGCCGAAACTGGAGCACGAGCCGACCGTCCCGGCATGCCTACAGACCCAAGACGACGTGTTCTTATAGGGGAACACAAAGTGGCATAAACATAAAAACTCGGAGGTCCGCGCGGATTTCTCGGATCGGCGCTGGGGCCCCCCGGCGGCGCCTCCGGCGCCGCCCCTGGCGCGCTCCGCGCGCCAGGGAGGGGGGTCCAGCGCCGATCCGAGAAATCCGCGCGGACCTCCGAATTTTTTATGTTTATGTCACTTTTGGTTCCCCTATCTTAGAACCCAACGTGCTCCAATAACAACGACAATGTCCTTAGAACATCAGCCCGACGCGTTACAACAAGACAGCCACAGCCAGAACTGGTCCGGGACGATTTCGTGCGGAGCACAAGAGGTTCCTAGAGCATTCTGTGGTGGGCCTACGGGGAGGCCAGGACGCCTCGCCACTGCTCGAGAAAGAGTCTCAGGGAGGGGCGGTGGAAGGCATGGGCCAAGGGCCACCCTGCTGGCCCGCGCTCGCCGAGCCCGGCCAGCGCGGCGCACGTCCGCGCGGCCCGCCCCGCCTGCCGTGGCAAAGTGCGGGAGCCTCCCGTGCCGTCTTGCCGGCTCTCTGCGAATCGGCGCTGCCTCGACGCTACGTCGACGCTGCCTCGACGCGGCGTCGACGCTGCATCGACGCGGCATCGACGCAGGCCGACGCGACGTCGACGCGACAGCGACGCGACGTCGACGCTGATCGACGCTGCGCCGGCGCTTTCTCATCGACTGCCAGACGCGAGCACGCGCTAGTGCAGTTTAAAGGCGCCCTTCCGAAGACATACTACAAGTTTTGGAGGCGGCTGGGGGATCTGAACTGGGTGTGCCCTGCGACAATCGGTCATGAAGGACACTCGCTCGAAATCGGCCCCCGGACCCCCACAGTGGGTCCATCTGGTATCATGTTTCACCCTGGATCTGTTTTTGGCGGCCCTGGGGTCCCAAAGCGACCCTCGGAGACCGAAAAGAGGAACAGCACCTCTCGCCATCGCTCGGACGCCCATCCCCTGTGCTTTTCTGATTTCGTGCGTGGCTGTTCCGCCAAATGCTCAAGGATGCTCCTCGATGGTCCTCGCCGAAGGAAACATCCACACGTCCGAGCGATGCCAAGACCTCGTCGAGGCCCCGGCACCTCGAGCGCCGCCCCTGGGCCACGGCCGACTCCCCGCCGACCCCAGCATGCAAGGCTCCCGCATCCCCCCACCCAGACGTCCTCACCCCCGAGTCGTCTCTTGACGGCCCTGTGGGCCCAGCGAGGGCCCAGGGAGGCCCGGAACTCCCCCCTTGGACGCCCCCGACGGACTTCCCCCAGGCATTTTCATCCCGAGTCGTCTTTTGACGGTCCTGTGGGCCCAGCGAGGGCCCACGGAGGCCCGAACTCCCCCCTTGGACGCCCCCGACGGACTTCCCGAGGACCTGCGAGGCGCACAGGAATCGCCACCGGGTGACGACATCCCAACCCTGCCCCGCAACGACCATCGCTCCTCCTGAATCGAGGGCAGGCGGGGGCAGGCGTCGGACCTCGCCCCGTGATCCACGAATTCCGAACCCCCGCGCCGCCCATCGGACTGCCTGAATCTCGGGGGCGCGCAAACATGGATCAGCGATCCATGGATCTGGCGCGCGGTCGCCGAATCCGTGCATCGGGGGAGGTGCCCTCCCCAGCATGCGGCCGGTGCCGCCTCGCTGGGCGGCGGAGATCCGCGACTTCCCATGGAAACGGGACCCGTCGCTATATCCACGCCCCCTTGATCCGTGCTTGCGATCGCCTGAGAATCGTGGATCGGCGAGAGCCGGGCTCGGCTTAGTTAGTGCCCTCCCCAGCATGCGGCCGGTGCCGCCTCGCTGGGCGGCGGAGATCCGCGATTTCCCATGGAAACGCGACCCGCCGCCAATCCACGCCCCCTTGATCCGTGCGTGCGATCGCCCGAGAGTCGCGGCTCGGCGAGAGCCGGGCGCGGCTTCCCCTGCCGACTGCGAGGCTCCGGAAAGCTGCTGCCCGCGCGGGCACCCACGGGGCACCGCCGGGTGCCGCCCACGCCGGCGGCGTTGGCGCCCACCCGGCTGGCTGGCGCGTGGAACTCCGATTTTGAAGGGGCCCCAAGACACACAAATAAATACACACAGATAAACAGATTCCCCATATTTTCTTATATTTTCTTGGTTTTTGTTCCCCCCCACTTTCCATATTTTTCCTATATTTTCTGTGGAATCGACGATTAATTGTGTCTGTGTGTTTTTTCCCCTCCTGAGATGTGGCGGCCCGGGCGGGGGGGGCCTCCCGAGCCACACCCCCCCGAGGGGGGAGCAAGAGAGAGAGAGATCCCCGCCCCCTGGCGGGAGCCCTGCATCGGGCAGGGGATCGACTACAACACTGCTCTGCCCTCCTCCTGGATCCGGTCCGTGGAGGCTGCGGAGGCTGCGCAGATGGCTCCGCAGCTCCACGAAGAGCTTGCTGTGCAGCTTCCGAGAAAATTCATTCGGGGGTGCAGCAGCCGCCTCCGAAGCATCGACCGATTCTGGGTCGCCGGCGGCGTTCCACGCCGAACGCCGGCGGCGGGGTGGCCGCCGGTCGGCACGACGCGAACCCACCGCACAGCAGTGCTGCAGTCGGCCCCCTGCCCGACCCCGGTGGGAGCCTTGCATTCGGCGGGCTGCCAGCAGTAGAGGCCTCCTGGAGGGGGTCGGAGCAGGTGGGGTCGGAGGATCGCGCCGCATCGCCGACGCATCGGCGACGTCGGTGTGGGAAAGCAAGGGCTCCACATCGAGCCGCATCGTCGATGCATCGACAAAGCATCGACGATGCGGCGCGATCCTCCGACCCCACTGGAGAAGAACAAAAACACATAAAGATAAACTTTTGGCGCTCCGGACTCGCGCTGGACCGCCCTCCCTGGCGCGCGGAGCGCGCCAGGCGCGGCGCCGGAGACGCCGCCGGGGAGCCCCGGCGCGGATCCAAGAATCCGCGCGGAGCGCCAAAAGCTTATGCTTATGGCGCTTTCTCTTGTTCGACTGCTCCGACCCCACCTGGGAGGCCTGGCTTGCCTTAGGTCGGGCATGGCCCCTTACAGGCGGATTTTGGATTCAAAAATTTACAAGATACCCCCCACAATCTGCAAACATAGTAAAACATACGCCAAAAATCGTCCCCAGACTATTTTTGACTATTTTTGCATATCAGCGATGAGGGGATGGGCATAGGGGGGATGCATCGACCTGGAATCGGCGATACATCGTCGATGGATCGGCAATAGGCCTCCGATAGTGAATCCGCACCCTCATGGGCGGGTTGGGGCCATCGGGCCCCTGTCGGCGATCCATGGGTGATTGGGGGTCGATGCATCCCCCCCTACGCCCATCCCCCCCCATATCGTTGCCCCTGAGGGCAGAGGCGTGGGGCACCTCTCCTCCTCCGAGCTCGAGCCGAGACCCGGGAGGCGAGACGAGGAGGAGGAGGGGGAGGAGGAGGAGGAGGAGGAGGAGGAGGAGGAGGAGGAGGAGGAGGAGGAGGGCCCCCCCCTAGGGCCCATCCCCCCCCCCTGTCGCCCGACTTGAGCCTTGCCTCCGCCGCCGCCCGTGCGGGCGCCGCCACGCCCTCGCGGCCCCGCGCGTGCCCCGCCGCGGCCGCCCGGGGGCGGCTGCCCGAGCGGCCGCGGGACGGCGGCCCCAGGCCGAGCGGGCCGCGCAGGCCCCGTGGGCCAGCGCCGCGCCTGGGAGGGCGGGCCAAAGCGAAGTCCCTCGCGAGGAGGGAGGAGGAGGAGGGAGGAGGGAGGAGGGAGGATGGAGGAGGAGGAGGGAGGGAGGAGGGAGGAGGGAGGAGGGAGGAGGGAGGAGGAGGAGGGAGGAGGGAGGAGGGAGGAGGGAGGAGGGAGGAGGGAGGAGGAGGAGGAGGAGGAGGAGGAGGAGGAGGAGGAGGAGGAGGAGGAGGAGGAGGAGGAGGAGGAGGAGGAGGAGGAGGAGGAGGAGGAGGAGGGGAGGAGGAGGAGGAGGAGAGGAGGAGGAGGGCGGGCGGGAGAACTGCGCATTTTCTGAGGGTGGAGGGCTCAGGGTGAAATCCACATGGGCTTCTGCGCCCTGAGAACCCATCCGTCTGGGGATTCGCCGTTTGCGAAGTCGAGCCTCGAAGAGCCATCAGGACGGCATTTCAGATTTTACCCTTCGCCCTCCACCCAAAGAAAATGCTCGGGGAGAAGACCGCACGACCTGCAGGTCGGGCAGGGCCCCCCCGCAGGCGGATTTTGGGACGAAAGATTGAAACAATACCCCTCCAAAATGTGCAACAGTAGTCAAACATGTGCAGAGAAGTCAGCACGATCTGTCGGTCGGGCACGGAGCCCTACAGGCGGATTTGGGACGAACATTTTTTTGATACCCCCCACAACTTGCAACAAGAGTAAAACAAATGCTCCAAGCATCGTCCCCAGACTGTTTCTTCCCCGACTGCTTTGGGATGTTCCTCCTGTAGAGGGACAGGCCCGACTTAACACGACTTCCAGGATGCCCCCCATTGCTTCCTATATTTCTGGGGCTTTCCCTCCCCCCTCCGTTGCCCACGCTCTCCTATCATATATGTACATACATATGTGTACAACTATAGTCATGGAAATGAGGCGTTCATTTGTGCTCGTGCCTCTAATTCCGTCTTCGGTTCGTGTCTGATCCTCTGGCGCGCAAAGGTCGTGACCTGGCACGGCACGGCACGGCGCATGTTTGGATATGATTCCGCGGTGGACAAACCTCCCTTCAGTAAGCCTCCCTTTAATGAAAACGACCAAGGACCGAAACCGACGGACCTGGACCCGCAAACATGACGGCCGCGACGCCCTCTGGCGAACCGAAAACGGCCAATTCGCTAATCGACGTGTCTAGGCAGGAGGTCGATCCACCTCCGACACACAATGTGGCGATCGCAGCGCACTCCTCGCGGCCCGGCGCCGTGCCCGGGACGGGGCGGGAGGCACAGCCTGGAGGCTTTTCGGGTTCGACGCTCGAAGCTTTCGGGCGGTTTCGTCGGTCCTCGGCGATCTTCCAGCCTCGGGATGCCTTTCAGCGGCTGCGCCTCGCCGAGCGCGTTCGGGGGGTGCCCGCATCGTCCCGAACGGCCACCGAAGAACCGAATTTTAACCCTAAAACAAATCAAGATGATGCAGACCCCGAAATTCACTGCGGGCGTTGTCGCCCAGTCTTCGGGCCCCGGGACTAGTACAAATGGATCCGACCTAGGTCTCAGACGAAGCCAGGACGAAGATAGATTCGGGTGAGGATAAAATCGAGAATCTCTGAGATCTGGCGGCTCGGGAGGATGTATCGGGCGTCGCGGCCTTCCCGGAGCGATCTGGAACGCTCCTGGAGCGCTCTGGCACGCTCTGGAACGGATCTGTCCTCGCCCTAGCCCCGCTCGAAGGTCTCTGGTCGTGACTATTCGCGGTGTATCTGATTTCAGGGAAGGCACAGACTGAAAGGGCCCTGGGACACACAAACAAGTAGACACGAATAACAGGATGTCCCATACTTTTTTCCAGTATGT